CTTCCTTCCTTCCTTCCTTCCTTCCTTCCTTCCTTCCTTCCTTCCTTCCTTCCTTCCTTCCTTCCTTTCTTTCTTTCTTTCTTTCTTTCTTTCTTTCTTTCTTTCTTTCTCGAGACAGGGTTTCTCTGTAATTTTGATTCCTGTTCTAGAATTAGCTCTTGTAGACCAGGCTGACCTCCAACTCACAGAGCTTCTGCCTCTGGCTACCAAGTGCTGGGATTAAAGGCATGCACCACCACCACCCAGCATCATTTTTAAAAAATAACATTTTTATTAATTCTTTGGAAATTTCATATAATGAATACATTTTAATCATTTTCACCCCTCTCCAATTCCTTTTAGAGCCACCCCAATGTATGTAGCTAAGATTGGTCTCAAACTCTTTGTGTTCCAGGCAGCCCCCAAATTTATGATCCTCCTGTTTCTGCCTTCCAAGTCTTGAGATTATAGAGAAGATAATTTTTTAAAGTTTTTCAAAATTTCCAAAAATTTAAACTTAATTTTATTTTGTGCATGAGGGTTTTGCCTGCATGTATGTCTGTACATCATATGCCTGTAGTCCCCATGGAGGTCATAAGAGGGCATCGGATTCCCAGGAACAAGAGTTACAGACAGCTGTTAGCCATCATGTGGGTTCTGGGAACCAAATCTGAATTCTCTGTAAGAACAGCCCGGTTCTTAATTATTGAGCATTCCTGTCACCCCTCCTAGAAGGGATTTCAGTCTCATCTTTTTTGTGTTGTGTTGAGAATGACTCTGGATGTATTGTTAAAATGCCTAATGCATGCTGAAGGAAGGAGGTGGTAGTTCCTTATGACAGATGGAAAATGCTTATTGGGAGATTGCCATTTGTAATGTATTTTGAAGAGTGGATTTGGAAGAAATAAACTGAATAATCTAAGCAGAAGATATTTTGTGATCAAAGGTAGGAGAGATTCAAGTACAGTGTTAGGTCAGTGATTAAAACTCAGACAGGCGGGACAGGCAGGTAGCCCAGGTGACATCTACAGTAGCAGATCGCATACTTGTATGAGTAAGTTGAAAAGAGTTGTTAATATTTTTAACATAGTATATATTTCTGAATATTCAAAATTAAGATTTTAGAAGGGAAGAGATAAGCAAATACTGAATAGGAGCTGTTCTAGTGGATTGGTTGATTGCTTGCATGACTTCTAAGGGAAAGAAGTTCATATTCCTTCTTGAAGACATGCAGCCTTCATCTTGGGATGTTTGTTTCTTTTTTATACTAAATTTAGTAACTTCTTACTTTTGAGCATCAATGAGTATTTAATACTTTCATTTAGTGTGTGTATGCATATGATGAGAACCAACCCTGGTCTTCCTTCTGTTCTTTTCTGTTTTATTTTGAGTTCAGTGTTCTCTGGAAATATCTACCCCCACCCCATTGACACCTCCTTGGAGCAGTCTTTTTCAGAATTCTTTCTCCAGTGGAGAAAGACCATTTTGAAGTCTTGTTTTAGGATCCTAAAAGTCAAGCTTTTACTAAATGCATGTGCCATAGTTTACTTCGTGACAGGCTTCTCTACTTTGGACTGAATCTCATTTTTCTTAATCATTTTAGCTTTGACAGTAAACCTTTGGTCACACCTTCCTCAGATACATTTCCTTATTCATACCCTTTACCTGTCAGGGCAGAATCAAGAGAACTCCACTGCTCATTAGCTTTGTCACTTTCAGTAGGACCTGGGAAATGCATATTGAACAAGCATCAGAAAGCATGGTAAGGAATGTGTCTGCACACAGTCAATCATCTGCTGCACCCACTCCTTGTCATCTTAGCATTTTCTGCTCTGCCTACGAACTCACTGTACGGAAGGGATGGACAACTAAAAGACAGATGAAAGGGTTGATTTGTTTGACGGCTAAATTCAGATGGGACAGGTAATTAAACAGTTATGCTCCTGCAGAGAAGACTGCAGCAGTGGAACATGACATCCTAGAAACCCAGCTGCACTCCATTTAGATTCAGAACTAATAGTAGATAGATTTTCCCCAGATTGACAGATTTTGTAAACATCATTTCTGGTTCATCATGATTGAAGATGAAGCATGTATTTTGTTTGCAGATTAAGTTTTCTAGAGAGCTTATGGAGTGTACAGATATCTGAAAAAATAGCATAAAAGGGAGCCAGGGATGCCATGAATGAGTCTGTTCTGATCTACTCCTTTCTTGTCTTCAGTGTCCCATGGAGGTGGGGGATGGAATCCACTAGTTGAATAGATCAGTACGTGGAGGGGGCTGGAAGGAATGTCAGCAATACTTCCCTTATTTTATCTTTTTTATTCTTTTACCTTTGATGGGGTATGTAGTATAGGTCTCTGTTGTATGGATAACATTTTTTTAATATATAGTCAAATTTGGGTAGTTATTTCCATATAGAAATAATCACATCATCTACTCATTTGCTTAGATAGAAGATTTAACAGTTACCCTTTCTACAAGAGCCCCCAACAGACTGTTCATAGAGTTAGCTCATTTTATCTTTCAACTGTCACCTCATAGGCCTCTTTCTCTCCTTGCCTACCTGGCCAGATTTGCGAACCGACCTCCAACTCTTGTGTTCCTATATTGAGACCCAGAGTGTCTCCCTGCAGTACTTGCTGGAATTAGTACACACTTGCTTACCACTAGCAGTCATACTTGGTTTCATTCTTTGCATTCTTTACTGGGTAGGCTTGTTTGAATCATGCTACCTGTTGGCTGGTTGGTCGTTCACTCTGACATTGGTGATATTATTTCTGAAGGCCAAGGCTGTTCCCTTTCATCCACCTTGCTTTTCTTGTTGCACAATACCTGACATGCAGTATACAGCCTAGAAGTATAACCTAGATCTATGGTAGATTGGTGATGTAACAGTTTCTAGCCCCCAGAAAGAGAATGAGGACACCCTAGTTTGCAACATTTACTGATATCTGTGGCATACATACTCTATCCTGGCCAGCTCTCAGCTGCCAAATGGCATCACTGAATTGGAAAGCTGCTCACAAGAATCACTTTATTGTCACACAGGCTCCTCTGCAGGGCAAGGACCCGTTCCAGCTGTGCTTAGCAACTAAACAAACCAGCTATTTCATCTGCTACTTTGCATCAATTGTCCACCTGATTGGTATTCTCTGAGGTGTTGAAATATTTATATCTTTCAGATATACATCACCTTGGGGAAATAAAATAATAAAATATAATAAATAATTAGAAAGTTATGACTTTGAGTACTTATTACATTTATTTTTAATATGATTTAATTGCAACTTTATACAACATAATTTGAAGGCCATATTTGACAGCTGGCTTTCAGAATTTCTGGAAATTGAATAATCTGCTTTCATAATCTTATGCAAGATAGTTCCAGCACCCCACGGGAGATGGTCTCTGAGAAACACAACTCTGTTTCATGATATATGGCTCACAATGGAAAGGAAGGCGGTGCCCGTAGATTGGTTGGGAAACATTTTACAGAAACATTTATCTGAGAGTCTTGGCTTCACCTCTGCTGAATGAACTATGGAAGCAACCTAGCTCCTACCTTCGTAGAAGTGATTTGATAGTGACTACACAAGAGAGTGGTGTGGCAGCCATGAGAAACCACAGGACGGAGAGTAGTAGTAAGAAACAATCCAGCTCTTCATGTAGGGTGCTAGAAGAGAGATTGGTGGTTAAGAGTAACTCTTTTTTTGGAAAGCTAGTCTGGGGACTATAAGTCTAGTCCCTTGTGCCTATTGTGAACTATTAGTCAGCTGAACTGCGTGCCACTTCCCATCTATCCGCATGGCTGTCATTTGATGAAAGTGAGCCCCAGGTGGAGGCTGAAGCAAGTCCTATGCAACTCTGGGTGCTTAGAACAGATAAGTAAAGGGAGGCAGCGATTGAGGGATGAAGGGACAACAGGGAAACTCAGGATGCATTGCTGCCTGTAGAGGATTATCTCCTTATGTAGAATAATTAGAGGTGGCCCTGCTGTGTAGATAAGCAGACTGTTGATCAAGAAAATGTAAAACATAGCATAGTGTTTACCACCTTTGAATTTAGGCAGCTATGGTGAATGTCCCAGAGTTTTATAGACAACCAAGGTGAATGCAGCTAAGATACTCGTCTTCCTGACACTGAGTCTTTCAACAATGACTCATGCTATAGCCCACAAGAGCCCTTCAAATTGAATAGAAGCAATCCCAGAGTAGAAATGATTGTCTTCCCCAAAATCAGTAATGTTCACATAGCATCCAATGAATCATCTTCAGTTCCTGACACTGTTCTGGGCAATCAAGAAAATAGGATTGTTTGTGGGTGTGCTGGTACCCACCTGTAGCACTTGAGAGGTAAAGACCAGAGGATTGTGAATTGAAGCCATCCTGTGTTAACATGGGACCCTATGTTAAAACAAAACAAACAAACAAGAACTGGAGCTACAGCTCAGTTGTAAAGTTCTTGCCTACCATTTCCAAAGCTCTGAGTTTGATCCCTGCCTCAGGAAACAGAGAGAAAGAAGAGAATTATAAACAGTGTGCTTGTGCTAAGATCGAGATGTGTTCAGTATAGTCCTGACCTCACTTGGATGGATGTTCATTAACGGGATTCTTGGAGGTTTCATTATTTTGGTAGTAAAGTGTAAGTGGAGGTTAATTAGCAAATGAAGGGGAGTTGTGATGTCTTGGGGTGGGGAACACTATAGAACAGTGACACACAGCATGTATACTGGGGACTCTAGGAAGTGTGGGGAACCTGGAACTAGGACTTGAAGGCAGGCTCTTTTGTTTGCTTTTTGTCTCCATTCTCAGAAATTGGAGGGAAGTGCTGGAGAATAGGAAAAGCAATGGTTTTGTAACTTCACTTTCTATTTTTTTCCCCTGTTTTGTCATTTAGAATTTTAGTTATTGGTTCTAAGAGGTGGGGTTTCAATGTCTAAATGACACCTAACTGGGGGTTGATTAATAGCTGTCCTGTCCCTGTTGTGTTTGATGTCATTGCTCTGTGCTTCCTGCAGCTGCTGCCTATCCACACTCTGAGACTTGGTGTGGAAGTGGATTCCTTTGATGGACACCATTATATCTCTTCAGTTGTTCCTGGTGGTCCAGTGGATTCCCTGAATCTCCTACAGCCGGAAGATGAGCTTCTTGAGGTAAAAATGAAGAAGAAAAATGCATGGCAATAATTTTAAGTTCTAGGAAAACCAATTGACAATGCCACCAATGCCAATGTAATGGGAGCCATTTATAATGAGAAATGCCAACAGCTTACTAGTTAATACACAAAGTATATACCACATTTTAAATGTACTTTTCTCTAGTTGTTAAGGCCTTTGAGCATCATTTTAAATGTTTGTTTAAATGATTGTCATAAAAGTTTGATATATGTATATGAGTGTTACCTGCATGTATTTATGTGCACTATGTACGTGCCTAAGGCTTTTGAATGTCAGAATAGGGCTTTGAGTGCTGGGGTCCTCTACAAAATCAATGGATACTCTTAAATGTCTTGCCACCTTTCCAACCCCATGGTCTCTGATTCTTGTTGGCAACATGTAGTATATTTATTTTCAGGTCTGTTGGTTATTTCTGTAAGGATTATTAGGGTTGAACAACTTCAGGCTTGCATGTAGCTTTAAGATTATTCCCTTGGGATTTCCCTCTTTGTAATGCTGACTCCCATGGATATTTTAGGCTACCAATTGTCTTGTCAGCCTAAAGTAGATTTAGGACAGAATTCTTTGGCACACATGTATTTTTGTCACTTATTAAATAAAAATGGATGCTGTTTTGCATACTGAGATGGACATGCTTGCTGGCTTCAGATAACGAACAAGATTTCATATAAATCTTGGCTGACTCTGGTATGGCAGGAGCAGAGCATCTTCAGTGTTTTACAGATCTGATCAACATTTGGATTTTATAATTGTCAATACTGAGTATGTTGTTTTGCCTAAATACATAGAAAAATGGCAGATTTTTAGGACTATTTCAGAATTTAAAAATTCTGTCTTTATCCCAAGCCAAAATTCATTTAACAATTTTTTAATGCTCAAGTCAACAGCCCAAACAGTAATTTAAAAATCAAATGTTTTAATGTAATATGATGTCAACATGTACTAATTTGACATTTACAGGCTGAGGAATGATGGCAGGAAAATAATTAAACCATTATATTTTAGCCCTGTGTATCTCCAATCCCCATTTTAGGTGGCATGGGGAATGAAATTGGGACCTCTAATATGTTAGGCCAGTGTTCAGCCCACTGAGCTATATCCACAGCTAAAACTTTACATTTCTTCTTCTTTTTTTAAACAAAAAGTGAGTTATTACTCACAGTCCTTACACACCCCAGTCAAACAGGGAGGGCATAAGACTTCCATGATACGAAGAACAAGCAAGCATAATTATATTTTTACATTCAATACACCTGGTAATCATGCCCTAAGTCAAAATATCCTATTGACTGGTCTTTGAAGAGTAAGGCATCCAGTAGTCACACCCTTGGTCAAACGTCTTGTTGCTCATCCTTGAAGAGCAAGAATAGGTCTGAACTGTCTGACCTTTAGTCAAGATGGAGCACATTCAAAACTGTCAGCTTCTATATGCCTGGCTTAAATGAAGAGATATTTTTGACGTGCATGTCAACAAGTGTATGTGTATTTGCTATTTTCCCTCTTTGTTAACAGTTATCTGACAAGCAACTTGATGTACGATGCTTTTCAGCTCCCATTTCTTTTAATTGATTTTTATTGAGCTCTGCATTTTTCTCTGCTCCACTCCCTGCCTCTCCCCTCCCCTTTAGCCCCCTCCAAGGTCCCCATGCTCCCAATTTACTTAGGAGATCTGGTCTTTTTATACTTTCTACTTCCTATGTAGATTAGATCTATGTAAGTCTCTCTTAGTGTTTGCATTGTTGTCTAAGTACTCTGGGATTGTGGTTTGTAGACTGGTTTTCTTTGCTTTATGTTTAAAAACCACCTATGAGTGAGTACATGTGATAATTGTCTTTCTGTGTCTGGGTTACCTCACTCAAAATAATGTTTTCTAGCTCCATCCATTTTCCTGCAAAATTCAAGCTGCTGTGTAGTACTCCATTTTGTAAATGTACTACATTTTTTTTTTATCCATTCTTTGGTCAAGGGGCATTTAGGTTGTTTCCATGTTCTGACTATGACAAGCAAAGCTGCTATGAACATAGTTGACCACATGTCCTTGTGGCATGATTGAGTATCCTTTGGATATATACCCAAAAGTGGTATTACTAGGTCTTGAGGAAGGTTGTTTCCTAATTTTCTGAGAAATCGCTACACTGACATCCAAAGGGGTTGTACCAGCTTGCATTCCTACCAACAGTGCAGAAGTGTTCCCTTTTCCCCACAACCTCTCCAGCATAAGCTGTCATCAGTGTTTCTGATCTTACAGGTGTAAGATGGAGTCTCAAAGAGTTGTTTTGATTTGCATTTCTCTGATGACTAAGGATGTTGAGCATTTCCTTAAGTGTCTTTCAGCCATTTTAGATTCCTCTGTTGAGAGTTCTCAGTTTAGGTCTGTACTCCATTTTTTTTTTTTTTTTACTTATTGGATTATGTGTTCTTTTGGTGTCCGATTTCTTGAGTTCTTTATATATTTTGGAGATCAGACCTCTGTCTGATGTGGGGTTAGTGAAGATCTTTTCCCATCCTGTAGGCTGCCGTTTTGTCTTGTTAACTGTATCCTTTGCTTTACAGAAGCATTTCAGTTTCAGGAGGTCCCATTTATTAATTGTTTCTCTCAATGTCTGTGCTGCTGGGGTTATGTTTAGGAAGTGGTTCCCTGTGCCAATGTGTTCAAGTGTATTTCCCAAAAACTTTACATTTCTATAATTAAAAACAGTGTGATTAATAATAGCACAATTTCCATTCGGAGCCACTGTTCTAAGCGATATTTGTTAGGATTGTGTTATGGTGGCATGCATAGTCCATTGCATGTTGTATGTTCACAGCCAAGGCCACAGTGAGCTCCTGTGATGGGCAAGTACTGCCGGGGGGGGGGGGAGCTTCGATTCATTATAGGTTCAATTTTTAAATTAATTTGTGCTTATTGTGCATTCTGAAACTCTTTACTATTGATATAGGAATACATTAATTACACATATAGGGTTGGATCTACAGTTTAAAAATCTGGCGTCTTCTTGAGAGATTTAAGTAGTAGTTAATGGTAGATCTACCACTAACATAGCACACAAACCTAACATTTCTTAGAAATAAGAGAAAGTGACACTGACTTTCCCAGCTTCCTAATGAACTAGTGACCGAATAATACCTTTGCTTGTGTTTCCTCTCATTTCACTGACTGTTCACTCCATCACTCTACTTCCTGTGTCCCTCAAAGAGATAACGAGAATGGTAGTTTAAATCCATCCTGAGCCATATGACAAAGTACTGTCTCAGGGAACGAGATGATCCACAAAAAGCCCTAGTGTGTTAGTTCCTTTTCCCGTTGTCATGATAAATTCTTCAACAAGAAGCATTTTAGGGAATAAGGTTCATTATGGCTTACAGTTTGAGGGGATACAGTCCATCACAGTGGGACAGCTATGGTGCAGGAGCATGAGACAGCTGCCCACTTTGCACCTGCAGTCAAGGAAGCACAGATGGGACAGGAAATGGTCTAGGTTAGGAAGCCTCAATGTCCATAACCAGTGACCCACTTCCTCCAGTGAGACCCCACCTCTCAAAGGTTTTAGAACCTCCAAATACCCCTACCATCTGGAGACCAAGTATTCAAACACAGAAACCTATGGGGAATAGTTCACATTCAAACTACAGGGGTGGATTTAATAAATTGACTTAGTAGTCCTGGTTCCTGATTTTAGATATTTTTCAGATTTTGTTTGATCAAAGTGAAATGATAAGATGACAGACAGGTTGTCTGCCCCTGCAGTTAGTAGTTGTCACCTACCTAAAGCAGTGTACTGTGAGAAATGCTGAGTTGAATTTTTGAATGATATTAACGTTTATAATCTTCTGTCTTAAATATGGGAGGATGTAGTGATATTTCGTTTATGATTTAACAAATAAAGCTTGCCTGAATATCAGAGTGCAAAGCTAAGCCACTAGTTAGTCAGAGGCCAGGAAGTGGTGGCACACACCTTTGATCCCAGCACTGGGAGGCAGAGGCAGATGGATCTGTATGAATTCAAGGCCACTTTGGACTACACAAAATTCATCCAGTCCAAAAGAGAAACAGCCAGATGGCTCACACCTTTAATCCTAGTACTTGGGATCATATGCCTTTAAGCCAGCACTAGGGAGGTGGAGACAGGAAGGAATATGGCTGGGTGATGAGAGGAATATAAGGCTAGAGGAGACAGGAACTCAGATGCAGTTTGAGGATTTCATAGAGACAGGATTGCCTCTTCAGTCTAAGCATTGATAGAGGTAGGTACTCTCTAGTGACTGGCCTCTCTGCTTCTCTGATCCTTCAACTTTCACCCCTGATAATTGACTCTGAGTTTTTATTATTAAGACAAATTAGAATTCATGCAACAGAACAACAAGGTTTTAGAATCTTATTGTAAGATTTAGTAAATTACTTGGCCGCTTATCTATCTGTTGTGAGTGGAGCGGTGGGCTGTGTTCAGGCCGCCCCGGCTCCCGCATGGCTAGCTTATGCCCCAAATAATTACACGGAAACTGTATTCTTTTAAACACTGTTTGGCCCATTAGTTCTAGCCTCTTACTGGCTAACTCTCATATCTAGATTAACCCATTTCTAATAATCTGTGTAGCACCACAAGGCGGTGGCTTACCGGAAAGGATCTTAAGCTGCGTCCATCTTGGAGAGGAGAGGCATGGCATCTGCCTGACTTGGCTTTCTTTCTCCCAGAATTCTGTTCTGTCTACTCCACCCACCTAAGGGCTGGCCTATCAAAGGCCAAGCAGTTTCTTTATTAATTAACCAATGAAAGCAACAGATAGATGGCACTCCCACATCAATCTATCTGTCTGTCTGTCTATCTATCTATCTATCTATCTATCTATCTATCTATCTATCTATCTATCTATCTATCTATATTGGAGATTGAACCTTGTGTTGCTAGGCATGTATTCTGTCAGTGAACTTATTCTTTTTTTTTTTTTTTTTTTTTTTTTNNTTTTTGGTTTTTCGAGACAGGGTTTCTCTGTGGCTTTGGAGCCTGTCCTGGAACTAGCTCTGTAGACCAGACTGGTCTCGAACTCACAGAGATCCGCCTGCCTCTGCCTCCTGAGTGCTGGGATTAAAGGCATGTGCCACCATCGCCCAGCTCAGTGAACTTATTTTTAATACCTACTCTTATTTTATTGATTTATTATTTTTTGTCTTTTTCCAATTATAAACTTTATTTTAAAAAAACTTGCAAATTAAGAGTTATACACAAAAATTAACCAGATTCAAGGTCAACAAATTCCTATACCATTAGATTGGCTCTTTGGATATGAAGCTGTGTAGCTTCACATTGAATTTTGCAGTTTCACTATTGAATACATTTTTAGACACTTATCCATTACCAGAAACTAAAAACCCACGACAGAGTTAGAATTAGAAAAACAATTAACTTTATATTCTCTTTTATGATTCATGTCTATTCTCTCCATTTGGTCCTTTCTCAAGTCTTAGTATGTGTCTCTTTTTGTTATTTTTTTCTATATGTTATAGTGTACCTACATGTAAGTCTTTTAAAAATCTATATACATGTATTATTGGCTAGATCTCACATATCAGGGAGAACATCCATTTTTTTTCTTTCTGAGATTGTGTGATCTTATTTAATATCATACATTCTAAATCCATTTATTTTCCTTCAAATTTTATGATTACATTTTTTTTTAAGTTGAATAGCATTCCATCTTATATATGCACTTGCTCTTTTTATCTATCTACCTATTTTTGGGCAACTCTGTTCTATTTCTGTGCTATAGTGAATAAAGTAGTAGTGGTCACAGAATTGCAAATATCTCTTTGACAGGGTATGAAATTCTCTGGGTATTTACCCAGGAATGAAATAGTGGGGCTATATGGTAGTTCAATTTTAATTTTGAGAATCCTCCAAACTGATTTCTACAATGGCGTATTAACTTGTTTCCCCACCAAAGTGAATAATCCACATCCTCTTCAAGAGTTGTTAGAAATTTTGAAGATAGTCATTCTGTAGTTTCCATTTCCCTGATGACTAGGGATAGTGAATGCTTTCAAAAATTATTGGCCATCATGTTTCTTTTCTTTTTTTTTTAAGTATCTATTCATTTGTACTGATTAGCAATTTCCTTGGCTTTTAATTTCTACAATTATTTGTAAAGTCTGTATTATTAGCCCCTTATCTGAAGTGTAGCTGGTAACAATGTTCTCCCGTTCTCTAGGCTCTGTTTGCGCTCCTGTTTATTTCCTTTGCTTTCCATAAGCCTTTGACTTTGATGCCATCCCTTTTGTTGACATGCTGTTGGTGTTCTATTCAAAAGTTCTTCCCTAACCCAATATCTTGAATGCTTGCATGTTTTCTTCTAGACATTTCTGTGTTTCATATTTAAGATTAAGGTCTTTGGTTGCTTTGAATTGATTTTTGTAGAGGGTGAAAAATAAGTGTCTAATTTCATTCTTTTGTGGGTAGAAATGCAGTTTTGGCAGCACCATTTGTTGAATAGACTATACCTATTAATGGCTATATTGTTTTGATAAGAGAGGATGTTCTGTGTTATTTAAGTCAGGTTGAACATCTCCATCTCCTCAAATATTCATCATTCTTTACGGGGGAAAGTAGTTATTTTTAGATCACTGAAGGTAGTGGCCTTGCGCTGCATTTGGAAGATTTATGTTATAAATTTTACTGCATAACTGAGGCATTGTTTCTGGTCCTAAGATCATGTCTATTCTGATTGGCAAGGCATGATCATAGCTTTGAGATAATCTGTGGAGTGGAGAACATTGCTGTGATATGTAATTATTAGTTATTGAGAAATGAGATATTTGAGAGATGCAGATGGAATAAAATCGGGTTAGTTAATTTAGGTTAGTTCTAGGTGGAAAGGTGTATCTAGCTAAATTTACCAACGAATACTTTTTCATGTGGAAGTCAGTGACCCAGAGTATAAAGCACTTGGTGTGTGGTGTTAGAGCAGTGTTGAATGTGTTAAAATAGATCAGGCATAGTGTAGCTCCACCTTCACCCTGTCAACAGATATCTCTGTTAGACTACCCTGGGCGTCTACATTGAAAAACAAAGTGCTATAAAAGGAGTGTAAAGATTTTGGGGGTGGGAGTATAACGACTTTTTTACCTTAGCACACAAAGGTACATGTTTTTGTAAACCTGGTCTATTTTCTTCTCGTTCATTTGTTTTAACCTGTTCTTGTACATGGGAGGCAAGTGTCCTGCTCTGAGTGTTATTCATGGCCTCAATAGTTTGACATATAAAGTGTAGATTTCTGGTTTAAAAAAAACAAAACAAAACAAAACAAAAAGTTGAGATACAGAAAGAAGCCTAGATTACTAGATTGAATAGCAGAGATGTGCTTTGGATCCTTGGATTCTGGATTTGTCACAGGCTTGCGTGTGTCCCTGGCATGCATTTAACATATTGAAAACTTGATTTCTTCATCTTTCTCCACTTGTGAGAAAGTCTAAAAAGCTGCCATTCATATAAACTGTAAGGCTTCTGTCACAAGGAGGATTGGCTGTTGTCAATTCGGCAGACACATTAACAAACTCATGTGTAAAGTGAGTGCTCGGCAAGCCTCTGCTCACTTGCGCATTTTCTAATCAACAAATTGACATTGTTATGACTTGATGGTACTTAAAAAGGATCTCAGATTGAAGAACTGTTGGAGATATTGTGAAGTTTGAAATAAAATCGGCTTCTGAGTAAGTGAGTGTAGACATACAAATCTTTGAAGTTGACCACATAAACTTTTGGTTGGTTTCTCCCATCCCCTCTCCTGCTCTTGCCCTGCCTCCCTCCTCTTCATTTTTCTTCCTCCCACCCACAATGTGTTTAATGTACTTCTTAGTGCTTAAAACCAGAAACACAAATAAGCTTTGGGTTAGAGGACCATGCCAAGTCTCAGCCCAGAACAGCTATTTACAGCAGCCATAAATCCCTTAGCTAGGAGCTGGTAATGGGAATAGGACCAGTGTTTTTAGCAGTAGGTAGTGAAAAGGACTACCAGGCACTGCTATAATAAGTGGAGACAATTCAAATGAATAAATAATGAACTAAATAAATATTTAAAAGGACTCTGAGATAGAAACCTGAAAAGTGACTTTCTAATTTGTTGAAGCACAAACTAATAATTGTATCTAGGTAGAGTTACTGCTTCCATTTTATCTCTTTTTGTATTTGGTAGAGGCTAACCTTAGAACTTTCTGTGCTTATTTCACGGGCTGGCACTGTGGATATGATGTAAGCAGTGGTAGCTCCCTCCCTTTCTGCATAGAGGTTGGCTTGAATTCTTCCATGGAAGATTGCTAACTTTTGGGGTGGCTGTTCCCTACATTCCTTCATACTCATGATGACCTGAGAGAGGTGGAAAGGGGCAGAGAGGTTGGGATTCTCTGGGGTTTTTGTTGTTACTGTTTTTAGAATGTCTCTGAATAATTAAGAGACAGGATGATGTGTCCGATTGATGGCTCTAAGTGCTGGATGTGTCACAGACTAGAGAGTGGTTCCTAGGGACCACTTACTCCAGCCACTACCCACTGCTGAAAGGGTTGATGGGGTGCTTTCAGCAACGCAGCATCTTCTGTTATCCCTAGTACAGTGGCAGATCTGTGGAAAGGATGCCCCTGTATAGCCAGTCCTGCCTGTTATCTGAGCATTAGTGCTCACCTTTGAGAGACTGATGCCACAGTAGAAATACCACTAATACCAAATTCCTGCCATTTCCTCTTAGGAAGGCAGAAGAGATCCAAAGAGACTATTGTTGGCTGGAGTGTGTTCCTTCTTCATTAGCTTTTAGGAATAGCAAACGGGTCATTCTCGGTGACTTGCAGATAGAACCGAGAGAACTTTGAGCTAAAGCCACATGTAAGAATAGCAATATACTCAAATCTAGATTTCTAAATTTTCTTTCATCCAAAATATCATTATGTATCAATATATATGTGATGTTTGGTGATAGGGATTAATCATTAACAAGACAGACTTATCCTTTTGAGAGATAGGGAGCACTCATGTGAACTAACTTGGGCACTGAACACTTCTGTGATGTTGTACTAGTTCAGCGTAGGGGAATAGAAGTGGTGTTGGGGACACCCATCTCTTCCCATAGAAACATTTACTAAGGTGATGCTCTTGATGAGGGCTGAGGAAGAGTGCTCTGACTGACAGTAAACTCCAGCTGCTGGGTATCCTTGATATGGCCACATGTTGATGGCAAACAGACATATAATGACAACACAGAAGGAAATGGATATGAAGAGGATGGCAGGGACAGTCAGCATTTAAGGAGGAGTGAAGGGAAGCCAGAAGAATACAGTAGTAGATTACGTAAAGGAGAAACCTCAGAGACGGGAAGCATTAGATCTTTTATACAAGTATAGTGCTGCCTAGCATACATTTTGTACTTTATTCTCCCCATTTCTGTTGAGATTCAGCCATATTTTTTTAAAATCAAGATCCATCCTTAATTTAGATGATTTAAGCTGTTGATAAAATAATATGTTTAATTTTGGCCCTTTGTTTACAGGAACAATGAAATGTCTTTTTGGTGCTTTTTAATTTTCCACCTGTTCACAGCTGACAGCCCTTGTCATCCTAGGTCAATGGTGTGCAGCTCTATGGGAGGTCTCGCCGAGAAGCAGTCTCCTTTCTTAAGGAAGTGCCCCCACCATTTACGTTGGTTTGCTGTCGCCGGCTGTTTGATGATGAGGCCTCAGTTGATGAGCCGAGAACCATGGAACCATCTCTTCTTGAGGCAGAGGTATAAAGGGCTGTGTGTGTTGATTATGTGTGTCCTTTTATCAGGGGCACTCCAAAGAGGGGTTACAATATAAAGAGGAGCCCCTGCTCTGTTCTGCTCTTTTATTTGACTAAGCAACAGTGTGGAATATCTCAAATTTTGAATTTACATCTGGATTTCTAGAACTCCCTGAAAATGTTAAGACACTGATGTATATCAGTCTGATTTAAAAGCAACTACTTTTAAAACTAATTTTCTGGATTCATGGCTTCTGTTTGACTTTTGTTTCAACTTATTTCATCATAACAAAGTTGTGGTGTTGGTAAATATTGCCTATCTTAGTCTTCCCCTTAGTCTGAGAACCTTAAAAAAAGTTTCAATGTGAGTTTAGAAGCTAACATAAATGCAAAAGAATCAGAATATGGACTGGCACTTCCTCTGCTGTTAGATGTCTTGTTTTAGGAGTGCTGTAATCTGGGAAGGAATTATGAAGGTATGTGCTGTCACCACATGTCCTTTGGAGGCTCATCTTTATGCCACTTTCCCTCCTTTCCAGACACAAGCAGTTTAATGTGGGGCCTTTCCTTTAACTAAATTCAACTGAGTTCATCTTTGAAGTTGTATGGACTTCCTATATACTTTGTGCATCTTTGAGTAGATAACCTTGACTTCTGTTCCTATTGGAATGAAAGGTGGTTTGAATGAGAATAGCCCCAATAGACTCGTTTGTTTGAATGCTTGGTCCACAGTTGGTAGAACTGTTTGGGAAGGATTAGAAGGTATGGACTTGTTGGAAGAGATATGTCCCTGGGTATAGGGTTAGAAGTTTCAAAAGCCCAGAATAATGTCAGTTAGCTCTCTCTCTCCCTCTGCCTTATGCTTGTGGATCAAGATGTAAACTCTCAGCTACTGCCTCAGTTCCATATCTACTGTTCCCCCACCATGATAGTCATGGCTTCTTCGCCTTCTGAAATTGTAAACTCTAAATAAACTCTTCTTTTATAAGTTGTGTTGGTCATGATGTCTCATCAAAGTGGTAGAGAAGAAACTAAGATAAATGGTACTGTTCACAGAACTTAGAACACTCAAGAGCTTATATGAGAAGGAAATAATATATGCCAAGCTCTTAGCATTTTGACTGCAAGTGATGTAGGAGACTGCTCTTTCCTTCCCAGGTGCTCAGACCCGAATAATCACACAGAAATTATATTAATGACTACACTATTTGACCTAATAGCTCAACCTTCTTATTAACTAACTCTTACATCTTAAATTATCCCATTTCTATTAATCTGTGTATTGCCATGATGCTGTGGCTTACCAGGTAAAGTTCTGTTCTGGTGTCTTCCTGACTCTACCTATATCTCTATGTCTCTCTCTGTTCTGATTTCCTGCCTGGCTTTACTATGCTAAACCATTGGCCGAAACAGCTTTATTTATTAGCCAATAAAAGCAACGCATATACAGAAGGACTTCCCACATCAAGTGAGAGCTCCATGAATGTTAGTCGTGATATTCCTGATGCTTCCTGTCCAATGTCTTTGTTTCTGATTGTCTAAATTACCAGAAAAATCTAGAACTGCTGTGCTATAGATCCTTTAGCATGGATGTATCTTGCTTTTTCAAGAAGTTGGCCAGCTCTTTTGGAGCACAGGTCATTTCTTAAAATTCTTTCTAATCTCATGTTGCCTTTATTCTATACTATATATATGAACTATTCTTGATTGCCAGCCTTCCCTCACCCCTTCTGACAAGGTTCACTGTATAGTCCAGATTAGCCAAGGACTGGCTTTTATCCCAAGTCTGGTTTTGAATTGAACTCATAATCCTGCCCTTCCCTCTCCAATGCTGACATTATAGATGTGCACCTCTATGCCTGGCTGATTCATGTTTTAATGTAAAAGAAGAAAAAAATTGATGTGGCATATGCCTTTAATCTCAACACTTGGGAGGCAGAAGCAGGCAGAACTCTATGAGTTCAAGGCCAACCTAGTTCAAATTCCAGGCCATCCAGGAACTCTACATAATAAAGTCCTATCTCAAAACAAAAGACCATAATTTTCAAGGATGGGACTCTTGAGATACTTTGTGACTTCTTCTACTCTTTTTAAAGTGAAGTATGTGTGGTATCTTACTTATGAAGCTAGATAAAAATACCTTTAGTGGGGGCTGGAGAGATGGCTCAGTGGTTAAGAGCATTACCTGCTCTTCCAATAGGTCATGAGTTCAATTCCCAGTATCCACATGGTGGCTCACAACCATCTGTAATGAGGTTTGGTGCCCTCTTCTGGCCTGCAGACACACACACAGACAGAATATTGTATACATAATAAATAAATATATTTTAAAAAATACCTTTAGTTTAATTCTGTCAGGTGTAAATCATCAACCCAGCTTGCTGACTCTCTGCTCCCATTCATCATACTGCACAGGGGGGAACAACAGCTTGAACATGCCAAATGCCAACATTGCTGCCTGTTAGCTGATTGCTTTCTGTTCTATAGATTGGAGTTATGCAGAATTGATATATCAGAGTGACATAGTCCAGGTTGGTGTGGAACATGCACCTAGTGTGCCATGACATTGTGATAAACTTGGGCTTTGATAAATATGATCTCTTGAAATTTTGACTTCTCTTCCATTGTTCTCTGTTTTTCATTTCTCCTGAAACTATCATACTCTTTTTATAAAAAAAATATTATTTTATGTGTGTACATATGTGTGTCTTTGTGAGCATATGCCAAGTGTATGCCCTTTGAGGTCAAAAGAGGGTGTTATATCCACTGGTGCTAGAGTTACAGGCAAACGTGAGTGCACTGTGTAGGTGCTGGGAACAGAACCTGGGTCCTCTGGAAGAGCAGCAAGTGTTCTTAACTGCTAACACATCTTTCCAGTATCATCTTGTGTTGTTAAAGTGTCTGGTTAGGTGGAATAGCAACACTTCTGATTCTCACTGATTGGTGAGTGTGCACCAATATTCTACCTATCATAATATTAGCCTGTTGGAAGATGGAAGTATTTTCTTTTTAAAATATCTTTTCCTAGGTGGGTGAAATGGCTCATCAGGTTTCAATCCTATATCCCATGAAAGATAGAAGGAGAGAACTGAGTCTACTGAGTTGTCCTTTAACCTCCACATGTATGCCATAGCACATGAATCCACATGTGCCATCATCATTTTTAAAACAATAAAACAAATAATCCTTAACAAACTAAAACACATGGAAAATAGCCATGGAGAATATTCTTTCACTTCAGATTTTGTCAGTCAAGAACCAAGAAATTGTTCCTGTGTTAGGTTCTGCCCAACTTGGATTAGGTGCTCCACATCCTGTAACAACTCAACAGTTTGAGATCTGACCAGTTCTAATTCTGCGAGTGGCTTTGTTATAGAGCCCTCTCATTGATCCCATTAAGTAGATTTTCTTATAACAGTGACTTAGTTCTGTTTGTAGGAATGATACATATTTTATTTACTGATGTTCTCTAAGATTTTAAGAATTTTGCTTTAAAAAGTTGTTACTTAGCCATATGTTTGGTTCATGCCTGTAGTCCCAGTACACAGGAGAGTGAGATAGGAGTGCTGTGAATTGATGGCCAGCCTGGGCTACATAGTTAGTTCCTGTAAAGTTTTGTATGTTATACTGGTTTAATAAAATGCTGATTGGTCAGTAGCCAGACAGGAAGTAGAGGTGGGGCGATGAGAACAGGAGAATTCTGGAAAAAGGAAAGATACAGTGTGCAGTCATCACCCAGAATTCTCCTGTTGTCTTTGCCCCACCTATACTTCCTTCCTGACTACTGGCCAATCAGCGTTTTATTAAAGCAATACAACTGACAAATCTTTACAGGGTACAACATCATTGTCCCACAGCATAAGCTATCCTGAAATACAGAGAAAGACCCTGCTTCACAAAACTAAACTAAAATGTCATTGTCTGTGGAAGGACTATTTTTCAAGAAATTAATCAGTCCAAATCAATGCAGTGCTATAAATAAAACTCAAGGATTCTGTAGTAACCAGGGTCCATAGTAGATCTGTCTCATTGAACCTCACTGGGTTCCTGAATGAACAGGAATCTAGAAGAGAGGGATGTCAGAGTGTGGTAATTAACCAAGAACCTGTGTGCTGTGTGCTTGTACTAACTCACTTCCTCCAATATCAGATCATTCCTGTTTCTACCTGGGGAATTTCACAGTGCTCAAGGAGTTGGTAGTGGCAGCTGCTGGCGCTTCCATACCTCTACTGCACCAGCCACCACCTCCTCTCTTCTTCCTCCTTCTTGTACTTTTCTAGTAAAACTTTCATGGGATCTGGGAGCCACCAGCAGTGGCTTCTCTGCGCCCTGGCTGGCTTTTCTGTCTCTGACTGAAATCATGACTACAGTACTGCTTTTCAAACATGTGTGTGCTTCTGCTTTGCATGAAGTTTACATTTGTACTTAAATTACCTGTTTTTCCTTTTATGCTTCTAATGGGATGACAGAACTCATTGAAGTATAAGAGGTCAGTGTTAACACTTGCAATGAAACCATTTGAAAACGTGCGAAAGACCTGCAGTTGTGAATGCCTGAATGTTTTATGAAGCTTTGATCCCTGATTGTGAGTACCCAGTGCATGCCCTCTTCACAAAGATCAAAAGCTGACCAAGCATGCCAAAGAGACTTCCCAGTGTGAAAAGAAACCGAGTTCTTTTCCGAAGAGAAAGGGCGACAGCTCCAGCTCTTACCCTCTTTGTTCTTTCAGGTTGATCGCAGTGTAGATATCAGCACTGAAGATGATGATGATGGGGAGTTAGCCCTGTGGTCTCCTGAAGTCAGGACTGTGGAGCTGGTGAAAGACTGTAAAGGCTTGGGCTTCAGCATTTTGGATTATCAGGTATGGGAACCCCTGAGAGGGGTTTTGATTTAGGTTTTTAGTTTTGTTTTGCTTTCAAAACTTTTAAAAATGGGTCTACCCCAGGTTTATTGAAATAAATTTCATGTACCATGAAATACACCCATTTAGAACATTCACCTAGGTTGTTTTTAGTGTTGTAAGTTATGCAGTCAGTACTACAATAAGTAATGAACTTCCATAATCAGTTCCAAAAAGAAGCCCTGGGAAGCTGAGGTGGGAGGAACATTAATTCAAGACCATAAGTTTGGTCTTCGGTGCCAATCTGGGTTATGTAATGAGACCTTGTCTCTTAAGAGCAGAAGCAAACAGGAAGAAACTCTGTACACATTAGCAGCATTCCCGATTCTCACCGTTCTGTCCTTCCTGCCACGTGAAGGCTTTTGTGGTTTTGCTTATTTGTCAATCTCTGTAACACCCGGTTTTGGTGTTACACCCTCGGTACAGTTCGCGCGCAGCTGTACCGAATGCGAGTCCGGGCAAGGGCCTGGAGATTGAACACAAGACACAGAGACCAGGGTCATTCGACAGGAGATCAAGCGAATGCCGTTTATTCAGACTTGGGGAAGCCCTTTTCTACCTAACTGCAGCACAAAGATCTCACCACCCAGGGAGGTGGGAAATAAACACACAGGAAACTTAGTTAACAACGGAGAAGATTGCCTGCAGCTAAATCACCAGGTGGGGCAGGGATAGCACGGAAACACACAGGAAGCTTAGTTAACAAATAACAAACTGTCCCCGCCAATGCACCCCAGGAATAAGGGAGACCAGGGCCCTACAAATCTCAATGAACTTAAGTGGAAATATTCTTGGTGAAATTATCTGCTGATGGATGCATAACACCTTTGTAGTTAAATATTTATTATGACTCCAGTTCTAGCTAGAGTAAGGTTACTGATCAGGGTTTAGTGGGAGCACTGGAGTGCATAGTAGGGTGCCTGCATTTTGCAGCAATTTACCTCCTACTGGCCTGCTGTTGGACCTCTAATTATTGAGAAGAATTAAAACTGTTGACAACAATCCCTTTACTACTAAGATGCAGACGTTAAAACTAGTGTGACCTAAACACAATGCTAATAAAGCAAGATGTCCTCTATCAAAGCAAAAAAAGTCAAAATTATATAAAACCAGATTTTAAAATTGCATTCACTCACTCACTCACTCATTCATTCATTCATTCATTCATTCAGTGGTGTGGGTATGAGTGCATGCACATGCTATAGCACCCATGTGGAAGTTAGAGGGCATCTTGTGGGAGTCAGGCCGTTTCTTTTATGCACTACATCGGCCCTGTGGGTAAAACTCAGGCAATCAGACTGGGCAGCTATTGCCTTTACACATGGAGCCAGGGTCCTTCCCTGAATCCTTTTTTTAAAACCTACATAGTTTATGGTTATGCATGTTCTGCTTACATGATCTTTGTGCACCATGTATGTTTTGGGTACCCACAGAGATCAGAGAGGGTATTAGATCCCGTGAACTGGAGTTACAGATAGTTGTGAGGTGCCATGTAAGTGCTGGGAAGTAAACTTGGGTCCTTTGCAAGAGCAGCAAGTGCTAGACTGTTGAGTCATCTCTCCAGTTCCTGAAATCATTTTTTTAATATAATAAGGTGATAGAGCATAGAATATAAGAAAAAAGTTTAGCATTATATAAGATTTAAACTACTGATTTTAAAATTCCTGAAGTATGCTATTTCGGTTTTGCTAGCATATTTCTGTGCCAGATAGGCCTCTGCTCTTAGAATTTCCTCTTAGATTATTATTGAATTATAAATTGTTGATTTAAAATGAGCATTTTGGGAAATAGTGTCATCAGGAAGTATCAAATTGTAAGATTCTGGTAAGAACTCTTGGTTCTCTACCCACTGTAGAAGTGCCACTCAGCCCCTAATATGTTGCTAATAAAGGATTCAATAAAATTTCAATCGAACAGAATTCACTGGAATTAAACGAACAAATGTCAGTGAGATTTATTACTCATTTTGATGATGAGGCTTAATTTAAAAACAGTTTTTAAATGCAATCTTGGTGTTCAGCTATGTTTCCATCGTCTTATGAGATCTCTCTGTACTTTCATTGTTAATTAATAAATATATTTTTTGTTGACTTGTTAAATCACACTTCAGGCTTTAAATATTTATTGATTTGTCTGTTTTGCACTTCTGGGGGGGCGGTGTCTATCTCAGAGTTTCATAAGTACTAACCAACAGTTTCAGCCCTGAGCTATACTCTTAGCCCAGACTTCATGTTTTTAAGTGTTGCATATCTTAAAGCAGAAAATTGTTTCTGAGCTTAATAGAATTGTGAAAGAAAGAAAAATTTGTCAGGCTCTTTCAGTTAAATTCCTAATTGACAAGAAAGCTCTAACAATTCTGAGTTTTGTAGTTTTCAAAACAGTTGTTCTGATGTGGATTTTGTTTTCTCAGTATGTTCTCAGAGATAGGCATTTTTATTCTGTTTTTTTCTTTTTTGAATATTCTCATTTATAAAATGTAGGTTGTTTTGTGTGCCCCCACCCCCATCCCTCATCCTCTTCCTCACAGTCTGTGTAAATAGACATTGATTTCTTTTCAGGTTGTATGATGTAACTTTGCTGCAAAAAAAACCCAAGTGCTAGATAATTCTTTTGTCTTTGTGTTTCTTAGAGAACTGATAGGTAACTTCTTAATTTCCTAAATGGTATTTTAATTCGGATAAAGGAAGTCAGCTCCTTTTCTCCCTAACTTTGGAAGGAAGAGCTCCCACTTTTATGTTGAGTATTTTTCCTTAGTCAGTGTTACATGCTCTCACAGTTGTGTACAGTACATTTGTATCATTTGTGAGGGGTATGAGAAACTGTTTCCCACTAAAGCGTTCAGACGATAGAGAAATGTAATTTAAAATTTAATTTGTGGCAAGTTCATTAATTTATTTAGTTGTATGACCCTTGTAATCAGGTCACAGTTTCTAAAGTTGAAAAATAGTTTTTGTAAAACTAAGTAGAGGTGTAACAGAGGCTATGAACGGCCTTGTCCAGTGACTTCCATATTTGAGTTTTGTATAAATGTATTAGGTGGAGAATAGGATTGAGGCAGGTTTCTGCCCTCTAAGTTTAGTGTATCCACACTAAGTTCTGCAGAACTATTTTAGCCACAGCCTTTCTAGTCTTAGGACATGGCATAGTTTCTACGTGGTCAGTGTTGAAGAGAGTGTACTTTTACTTTTGAGTGCTCATTTCATTAACTGTTTTTTTTTTTCTAATCAATGAATTTTCCTCTGCCCCAAGAACTGAAAATGGTATATTTCTGTCTCTATGATGTAATTTGTGTGTAGGGAAAGAAAGTCTTCTTTTACCATAAAAAGGAGCATTGATAACCATCATTCCACTGAGAAAATAAGCCCAACAATTGTTGATACTTCCTTCGTGCTAGTGCCATGTGACCGTGTGTTTAAATGACACACATTGTAGCTTTATTGTTCAGGAGAATTAAGAAGTGGATACCTTTTTTAGTGGAGTTTAAATTTAGCCATGAAATTATATCCTATCATACCACCAACTTCCAGAGAGCAATATATGAGTTACCTGTGGATTAGTGGTCAGAAGTTTAATTGATCCATGGAATGATGGCGTGGGTGGCTGTCTCAGCAGGTCAGCGGTTCCTAGGATTGATGGTAGCTGCATAACATAACAAAGTGCCTGCTCTAAAATGAAGGAGCTGCGTCTGATAGAAAATTCTAGAGGGCAGTCATATGGCCAAAGAGCAAATGTGGGAATTTATGTCAATCAATTTTATACTAGATTCGGACAAGGAAAATGAGAAACAGTAAATATAGGTTAGATTTTAGACTAAAGCTTTATTTGGCTGTGATTTTAGCAGAGATGGTCTGTCCTCTCCGCCCCCCAGAAGTTGGCTAAAATCCTGTCTTGTGTGTTTAGTGTGTCTGACTCCATAGATTGCAAGGTTGGGTGGTGGAGATGGAGCATTGCAGAGAACCGGGGAAATTTGTCCATAAGGTTAAAAAGTTTTAATTCTGCTGAGCAGTGGTGGTACACGTCTTTAATTCCAGCACTTAGGAGGCAGAAGCAGGCAGATCTCTGTGAGTTCAAGGACAGCCTGGTTTACAGAGCAAGTTCCATGACAGCTAGGACTTTTACACAGAGAAACCCTATCATCTCCAAAACTTAACCCCCTCAAATTTATTTCTATTATTATTATTATCGTTTGTGTGCATGCACATATGCTTGTGTAAGCTTTGAGCATGTTCCCAGGTGTGCAGGTGCATGAGTGCGAGAGTGCATGTATGGAGGTCAGAGGACAGCTTTCTAGAGTAGGTTCTCTCCTTACTGTGGAGCCTGAGATGGAAACTTACTTGTATTGCAAGCACTTTTGCCTACTGAGCTGTTCTGGCTCTGGCTTTAAGTTTTCATAGCATCTTTACTAGTCTATAGGTGAGGGTTCTGTATTGTATTTCAGTTAACTTAGCTTTGGCTTTCTCCCTTTTTATGTATAGTGTCACCATTCCTTTCAGTAATATTTCCATGGAATATTATTAGTACTTTGTAATATCACCACTAATACAAATATAAGAGTGGTAGGTGGCAATTATTGTTAATTATGGGCTAGGCCCCATTTTACCTATTTTACATATATTAGCTTATATATTTCTCACAATAACCATGTGATCCCCATTTAACAATTAAGGAAACTAAGGATAGATTCGTTTGGTGTTAAGTCCAAGCTCATACAACGGGTATATGGTAGAAACGAAATTTGACTTCAAGCAGTTGGGCTGATATCCCACTGTTGTTAATCATGATATGTATGATGTTATTTCTTTTTGAGGGTTTTGTATACTTTTTTTTAATAGGCATCCCTATAGTAAATTGATTACAGTGCATCTTTTTGTTTTTCTAATTAGAATTTTTTTTAAAGTAAGCTACCAGTTAGCATTCTCCTTTCAGTGATATATGAAAAATTAGTAAATATCAAGAATTAA